CCATCCCCAGATCTCCTTCCTACCTCCACAAAGTCTATCTTCCTGTTTTCTATTACCTACCTTTTATTTTGCTCTTTAAATTATTTATACTTTGTGTTTCTTATACAGGAAGAACCATGTAATATTTAACTGTGTCTGATTTATTTTGCCTAGAAGTATGGCCTCAAGATGCATCCATTTTCTTATAAATGACTCAAATTCATCCTTTTTGTGGCTGAGTAGTACTCTATTGAGTATATACAACATATTTTCTTTATCCATTCATCTGTGATGGGCATAGGTCACTTCAAAGGAGTCGTGTTACTATAAGCAGGAGCACACATGTATCACTGTAATATGATGTCTTTAATTCTTTGGGGAGCATATCTAGAAGAGGTATAGCAGGATTAAATTAACTTTCTATTTGTAACTTTTTGAGGAAACGCCATACTGATTTCTATAGTGGTTATACTAGTTTACATTCCAATGAACAATGTAGGAGGGTTCATTTTCCCCTGCAGCCTTGTCAGCATTTATTATTATTTGATTTCTTGAGAATAGCCATTCTTACTGGGATAAGATGGAATCTTAGTGTTGTTTTAATTTACATTTCTCTAATGCCAAAGATGCTGAACAATTTTTCATGTACGATGACCATTTTTTTCCTGTCTTTTTGAGACAAGGTCTCACTATACAGTTCAGGCTAGTCTTTTTTTTTTTTTTGTTCCATTAACATGCACTGGTCATACATGCCAATGGAGTTCTGTGTGATACTTCCTTTTTTTTTTTTCTGGGACTGGGAATTGGACTCACGACCTCACACTTGCCAGGCAGGCGCTGTGCCACTGAGCTAAATCCCCAGCCCCCAGTTCAGGCTAGTCTTGAACTCACTTTCAGTGAGTTTGAGGCCAGGCTGGCCTCGAACTCGCAATGATCCTCCTGCCTCAGCCTCCTGAGTGCTGGGATTACAGGTATGCACCACCATGCCTGCCTTCTATTGGCCATTTTGTACTTTTTTTGAAAAGTACGCATGTTAACTGTTCATTTTGATTGCATTTTTTATTTTATTTTAGTTCTTTATATAGTCTAGATATTAGTACTCTGTCCCAAGAGTAGCTGGCAAACATTTTTTCTCATTCTGTAGATTAGAGACTGGGTGGTTTTTACTGCTAGAAACTGGAATGACAGGTGGGTGACAGGCTGTCTCTCCCATACACAGTAACTTTATTTTTATGTGGAATGAAATACTGTCTAGGATATTTAAAGCAATAATTAGGATTCAAACTTGCATTAACAGTCAGCTCTGTTACCCTTCCCACTCAGGTCACACAACTAAAGTAACACTGCACACACATGTCATATGCTGGGTCATTTTCTCCTCCCCATAGAGGCTGGCCCATTACTGTGATAAAGGCTGAATTTGGAAATCCTAAAGTGCAAATAAGAACACATCTAGGAAATGCTTGTGGCCAAGAATAATGGAAATAGCGTGGTGTTGTCTATGGATAAGAAAGAGAATGTTTTGTGAAGGTTCTGATCTAATATAATATATTAAAGCCCTTCAAAATTGATGCTGAGCAGTGGGTGGGCAGAAAAAAAAATTGATGCTGGGATGCTTTTGCCTTCAGCGTTTATGCCTGCAATACTGCTTACAGCCACTAGGTAACAGTAGTATCTTAAATAGCCTACATGCCTAAGCCATAGTGTTCTGTGGCTGTCATATGCATGCAGCATTTATGCATGTATCTGGCCAATACCTTCCCCACTGTATGAAAAATATATACTAAGCAGCATTTTGGGAGGCAGTGCAGCACTGAACTCAGACTGGTCTGAGCCTTGATTCTGGCTAGCTTGGGCAAGCTAGCTTCTTACCCAAGGGGAAAGTGATTAACAATGGTAGTTCAGGGCCGGGGATATAGCTCAGTGGCACAAGTCCGTGCCTGGCATGTGCAAGGTCTTGAGTTCGATTCCCGGTACCAAAAAAACTCAAAAAATAAAGAACACAACAGTGGTTCCCAGGACTGTGGTATTCTGTATCTATAGTACTTCTCATCTTACTGAAAGCCTTTTGACCTTGCACTTCTAGGTCCTACACACCCAGGAATGGGGTTAACATTTGCTGCTTAGCCTACAGTTAGATGAAGCCCTTACACTGGTACATTCACCAATTCATACTCACACAATAATATGAGTCACTATTAATTGAGCATGTACTCAATACCCATCTCAGTACTAGTTCTTTTCATTCCCACAGCAATTCTACTAGCTCTGTATCATCATTATGCCCATTTACAGGTGAAGGAACCCCCAAGTATGGGAAGAGTAAATGAGTTTCTACATAAAGTTTGCTTAGCCCGTTGCCTGGGACATAGTGAGTGCTCGTGATATACAGTGCTTGCAATTTGCAGATGAGCAAACAGCTGCTCAAAGGCTGGCTGGAGAGTCAGGCTCATTTGCTGAGAAGCATAAAGCCACAAACATAAGAGGCAGTAGGAGTGCAGAGTAGTGGGCAACTAATTTTTGCGGGGAGGAAGCCAGGAAGGCTTCATGAAGGAAATAGGGTTCAAACTGGATTATGAAAGATGAGTAGGGGGGACAGAGTATGGGGCCTATTTTCCTGGTTCTATTCTTTTTTTGTCCTTTTAATAAAATAATCCTCTCAGACTCAGCAGAATGCATGGCTATGGAGCTAGAGATGATAGTCACCATCATCCCTCGCAACTGGGGAAGTTGTGGGGTTGCATTTCCACGCTGGGTGAGTGGAAATAAAGTTGTTTGCTACTACTTCCTAGAGGTGGGGTGTGGAGGAACACATTTTGGCCATGAGAGGAGAGAAGAGCAACAAAATAGAAAGAACCTGGGCTCTTGGATGACTTTGCTGAGCACAGCTGCCCCCCACAGGGGACCCCATGCCTTTTGCAAAGGATCCCATGAGACAGCGGACTTCTATCCTATATGACCACTGTGTGTGGGCTCCTCTGTCTGTAGCCTGTTACTCAGTTGGAAGCCTAAATAATACACCAGGTAAAGAGGGAAGAAGGCTTGTAAGGCAGGACGAGCAGCACATCCGAAGACATGACGAGTGGAAGACCTTAGAGCGTTTTAGCAGTCTTTCTCATACAGTTCCTTTGAGGATCAAATGAGCTATTAAACATACACAATGTGCTCAGTGTAGCATCTGCCATATACTAAGCTCAAAATAGGTGAAGGATATTTTTGCTGTGTGACACAAAAGTGACTTCCAGACCCTCATCTATCAAGTAGGGTTACTGACACCAGTGTGGTAGAAGCAGAGGTCAGGACCTTCCTACTTTAGCAGTATGAATGACCTGGAGAAATCCTACTGAGAGCAGGATGAGAAGAAAAGTAACTATTGAGAGATGAATGAGCCCTGACTTCCAGTGATCCAAACAGTTCAACTCGAAACCTCCCCTGCTATCCTGTCCCTCAGCTCTGGCTCACATGTGTCCTGCTCCATGTGCCCGAGAAGCCACCAGCAGTTTCCTTGGATGAGTCGTGGGCGCCCAGGACTTCCAGTTTTCCAGTGGGCGTCTCAGGGCTCTGTCCTCTAGGGTGACTCCTGTTCACCCCACAGGACTCTGCACAGGCACCCTGACCTCTTGGGCAGAGCTGATTGTGTCTCGGGCCCTCCCTTGCTGCCTGGCCTGTCACTGGTTTCGGTGTCATTTTCCTGTCAGGCTGAGCTCCTCCAGGGCAGGGGCATGAGTGTTTTGTTGTTTCCTTAGCACCTGGCCAGGTAAGAACTCAGTCCACATTCACCGAATGCATGAGGTATTCTTGGGCAACCCTGGGATCAGCCAGTGTGTGTAGATGTGGACACACACACACACACACACACACACACACACACACGAAGGGTGGGGGCGGACAGAGGATTTCATCGTAGAAAGTCAGTGTAAAACAAGAACGTTTCGCAAATGCTGGAATTGTCCCTTTTCGACCGCATCAGGGATTCAGGAAGCTAAGAGGCAGTTTGGTAGAAAAGAAGCCGGCACAGCAAACGGGAGGCCTGGCTTCCCGCGCTCAGCTCATCTTTCCCTCTCTGAGCCTTACTTCTGGCTCTTGCCTTTCTGTTTCGTAGGGCTCTCAGCCCTGTCTCTCGCTCTCGGATTCCCAGGGCTCGTCGCTGTGCCGCAGACACCTGGCCTCCCAGGGCCTTAAGGTGGCCCTGCTATTTGCCACAGCCCGCGGGAGGGCACCGGGCACCTCCGCGGCCCCTCCCTGCACCCCCCCCTCTCTGCCTCTTCCGTCCTCCGGCTCCCCGGCCCCTCCCCTCCGCGGCCGGCTCTCTCCTCCTCTCTCCCTTCCCCTCCTCCCCTCTCCTCTGGGCCGTCCGGGGCGCGGGCCGGGCGCGCGCTGGGTGGTCCCGGCCGGGGGCGGGCGGTAGCCTGCAGGCGTAATTGGCATGCACGCCGTTGTAGCTGAGACCGCTTAATAAAGCATTACATATCTCACCGCTTCCATATTTCATTACCTCACGCGGAGCCTGTGAGAGGGCCCTAATGGGAGTCAGCTGTGTTTTTACTTTCTGTTGTCGGCCGGGGACCGGCTTCTCTGTGGATTCTTTGAAATGAAATAATGTGATGCACGCCGCGATAAGGGCCGGCCGTAATGAGGCCCAGGCCGCCGGGCGGGCGGCTGCGACCGCTCCAGGTGTCGCGCCTTTGAGCTCGGAGGAGCAGGGGAGGAGCGCGGGCGGCAGGGGAGGAGGGCGGAGAGGCGGCCGACCGCGGCTGCGTGGGAGTCCTCGGATCCGGGTTCAAATCCTGCCACCCCGACTGCGCCGAGGGAACCCAGGGTGAAGGTGAGGGTGCCACCCTCCTCCCGCCAGCGTGGCGCTGCGCCGGGGAGGATTGTGCGGCTGGTGTGCGTGGGGCGAGAAATCCTTTACCCGGAGGAACCCGCGCCGCCCGCCCTCTGGGCGTGGCACCTGCCAGCCCTTTCATTGGAGGAGCGCAGCAGCCCCGCTCGCCGCTAGGATTGCCACCTCCCTCGGCAGAGGAGGAGCCTGAGGGCCCGAGAGGTGAGGGGGCCGGCTCAGAGGCACCCTGTGAGAGCCAGAGGGCAGCCCTGGCCAGGAGCAGACGAGCCCGAAAGAGGGAAGGAGGTAAAGTTGGAGGAAGAGTCGGGGCGTTGCCAGCTGACTTGTCTACCCCGCACCCTCTGCTTGAGAAGGGAGCTGGGCTTTCCCCACCCTGTCTCTTGGGCCGCCTGGTGTGGGCTGGAGGCCTTGGCCTTCTTACTGGGAAGGGACGGAGAGTGGGCAGGCCCTTGGGACAGGCGGAGGTGCAGGACTTCGTGGAGGGGCAGGGCGGGGCGAGGAAGCCCCGTGTTCTGAGCATCTGCTCTGTTCTCATCCCAGTTTACGCAGTCCCGAGTGGAGCGTGGCTCTGGTGTGACAGACCCCAACCTTCCCATGCTCTTGTCTCCTCCATACCCGCTCTATCTCCACCTCTACTTTTTCCTCTAGGGAACACTTGCTCTTGCTTTTTTCTTTGGTTCTGTTTTGTTATTTGGTTCTGGGGATTGAACCCAGGGTCTTCACACTGAGCTAATCCCCAGTTCTTTAAATTTTTTTTAAAATTTTGATTCAGGGACTCAGTAAGTCACTAAGTTGCCAAAGCTTGGGTGGAACTTGCAGTCTGCCTGCCTCGGTCTCCCAGAAATGCATCTCCACATCCCGGTGAGCATAAATGCTCATAGAGACCCATCTCCTCAGCATCGCTCAGATTGCCCCCACCCCCACCCTAGGCACAGTCTAGGTCACACCTGCTTCCCTGCAATAGGATTCTTTCTAAAATCAGGCCCTGCATGGCTGCCCTTCAGCCCTGGGCTCCCGTTGGCTCTCAAGAACATGCAGATCCCAGACATGCCCCCAGGGCTCGTCCTGCTTGGACCCACCATCTCTCTGGCTTCTTCTGCAGCACAGACCGCAACAGGCAGGGTGACCATTCTTTCCCGCAGGTTCCTCAGTGATGTCTTTGGATGCTTGCTCTCCTGTTTCTTGAGCTTGAAATGCACGTCCACCTGTGTGATCCCACTCACTCTCCACGGCTTAACACAAGCACTGACATTCCTGGGAGCTTCTTTCCTTGTGCTTCTCTGCTTCCAAGCGAGATATGCTACTTTCCTCCCTCAAACCTCAGTTTCCCTGTATGTGGGGGTGGGGTTTGATCTCTGAGCTGCATAATGTCATGAATTTGCCAGGGTGGGTGGAAGTTTCTCTCTGACAGAGGAAGAGGTCCTTTGAGTTTGTGGATGTGCTGGATGAGAACTTTGCCACCTGTTCCTTCTGCAGGCCAGGTGGTGCACTGTGGCTTTGATTGTATGGTGTCTAGCGCTCCTTGGCTCATACCACAGAGAACAGGGAAGCTGAGGTCCCAAGCCAGGCTGTTCAGATTCTGGAGTACTGCGTGTGTGCGCGTGCGCACGTGTACGCATCTGTGCACACAGTAAAGTAACGGAATCTGGTGTTGGTGGAGCACTTTAACCTTCTCAGCACTGTCTCACCTCTGGCAGCCCTTTGAGGCAGGCCCTGCAGAGGTCCGCACTCAGAGAGGCTGGGCCACTGCCTTAGTCACACAGCCGCAATGAGAACGAGCCAGGGATACTGAGCAGGGGCAGATGCTGGCCTGGGGTCCCCTGGCCTGGGGAGCCAAATAGACACTCCAAGTGAAAGATGCTTTGTTCTTTGGCTCCAGTCTACCTTTGCTAGCTGTTCTTCCCAGTGACCACCCCCTACATTCTGCCTGCGTCCAAAGCCTGCTTCAGAGCCTTTGCTGTCCCTTGTGGCCCTCTTCCCAGAAGCAGGCAGAGCCATCTCTGTCTGCATCATGCACTGTATGCCTTTCTCTGGCCCAGCTCGGAGCATCCTGGCTTTGTGATCCTGAGTCCCAAGGTCAGAGTCAGCTCCTCCTGGCCAGCAGGGAGCTAGAGTGGAGTAGGTGCTTAGGATGTGCTGTGGATGCCTGAGGATCACTGAAAGCATATGCAAGTCCTCGCTCACAGAAAATGCTCCATAAATGGCAGTGAATAACATTGATATTATTAATTATTACGCTTTTGCTTCAGGCCGGGTTTTATGTTGCAGCCTGTATTTTATTTAATTCTCACATCTTCATGAGATTGCTTTTGAAACCCCATTCTACCAATGAGGAAACTGAGGACAAATGATACCCAATAATGTACCCATAACTATAGAGCTAATTAGTGGCAGAGCCAGGGCAGAAAACCAGTTCTGTCTGCCTTTGAGCTGCATCCTTTCTGCACGCATTGCACGGATCTTATTGCGAGCGCCTTGTGCTCTCTGCCTGTCAAGCAGGGCTGCTCTATTGATTAACATGCAAATGATTTTTTGAGAGAGGGCTTAAGTGTAGTTCTGTCTCAGCCAGCCACAACGGAGATTTGCAACCCAAGCCCTCGTCCTCACCCACCCCTTGGCTATCAGGTTTTCATCTCTAGAGTGATTGACGGGTATTTTTTTTCTCTCTCTGACCCAGAACGCCAGGCCTCCAGTACTACTGAAATGTTTGCACAATCTTGAAGCATTTATTTAAAAGTTGCTTTTCCCCAAAGGGCCTGGCCTCAGCCAGATCCTGAGCCAGATCCAAAAAAACAAACAAATCCTGTCTTTACAAGTTCTTCAGCTGGGCTGCGTGGGGCGGGTGGGGGTGGGGGTCCCCTGGGCCCTACCTTTGCCCTGGCTGGCTGACAGGCCCGCCTGGGGGTGAGGAGCCCGCCTGCCTGTTTACAGCCCTTTCCAATTCACAGGCCAAACAGGAAAAGGGGTAGGGGCTTGGGGAGGAGGTGGATGTCAGAAATCACAAATAACACACTTGCCTCTCAAAGCAATAGGCAGTAGAGATGTGACGCAGATATGACTGGATTGCGTTTCTTGAATGTTCTTTGGAAACTGAGAAGAGTAAGACCCTTGACACCAAGTACGAAGGTCCCCACGACTCTCACAGCAATATGATTGGGGCAGGGGTCCCTTGGATGGGTCCTGTGGGCTGATAGCTGACTGCTACGCCTGGCTGGGCCTTGTGAGCTTGGAAAAGTTCCTTTTGTCTGGCCCAAACCATCATGGTACCACGAGGGGACTGATCTCCAGCCCTGGCATCATCTGCCCTGAGCCATGGCTGTCTGCGGCTGTTCTCTTGGACAAAGCAAGAGGGAGAGGAGGAAGCTCCATTTATGGAGGGCAGTTCTTGGGCAGGATTTGGTGCTTCATGGAGGTTGTCTGGTTTACTGGGCACAGACCCCAGGGGGTACTTGCTGCTGTCCCTTGCTGTAGGTGAGGTGTCCAGGGCAGCACTGGGTCCCAGGGTCTGACTCCAGCACCCCCTATCTGTAATCTCCCCTTCCCCCCAGCAATGCATTGGTCTAGATCAAGGTCTAGCGTTCAGAATATGGCCTCATGTAGCCAGTGATTGGACAACAGTGAGAGGACTCTGCAGAAGGGGAGACCGAGGCCCAGAAAGTGGCACTTTTGCTGCTTTTCACAGTCATGAAGGGCTGTCTGCTCACAAATGGGCAAATGTAGGCTTGCAGCTGGCAGAGTTCAAGCCAGTCCCCTGAGGTTCTGTCTAAGAAGTGGAGGTCAAATGCTCTGATTGCTTTTCCAGAACCCCCAAATGTGCTGATGGCAGGGTTCTCCCTGGGCATTACCTGCTCCTGCCATTGAGTCTGTTCCTCCTGGAAGACACCCAACTCTTTGATGACCTTCATGCCTCCATCCCTGTCCCAGTCAGCACCAGCGTTACATAAGGGATATGTCAGTCCTTACACTGACCAGGCAGGGCCAATCTGTCTTCACCTTCTGGAATGCTTCCGGGAACACCTGCCTTCTTGGTTATTTCCTGTGTCATCTTGGAGAAGTGACTTAGCTTTTTGTTAGGTTTTGTTTTTATTAGTACATGTTTGTAGTATACGATGACTACAGCCATTGTGGGGAGCTGGTACCTGTATGTAACAGATGACTTAGCTTTTGAAGCACCAATGTCCTCATGTACGAAAGGGCCTTATGCAGTATGTGCAAGTGCTTTATGGTGGGGAAGTCCACACAGAGAGATGTCGGGGTGCTGACACTGGCTGTTTCTACTGGCTCTTCTCTGCGTGGCCTGGAGCTACTGTTGAGTGACCACTGGACTGATTTGCTTCGCTTCCTCACCCCCACCAGACTCTCTGGGAGGAGTTTGTGCTGAGCCTGGGCTGGGAGGATGTTCTCAGACAGCTATTGTGGGTGTGGGCTGGTTGCTATGGGAAAAGGCAAAAACAAAGTACTTCACTCTTTTCCCTACCAAGCCCCCAGGCCCTTGCACATAGGCAATGAGGGCCAGCCTGGGGGTACTGGCAGGGCTGGGACCACATCTGATGGTGGGGATGGACCCCCATCTGGCAGGAATGGGCCAAATCCTCCATCTCCAGGGCTCAGTATAGAGCTGGACACAGCCTGGCATGGGGCAGGTTCTCACTAAGTGTGTGTTTATGAGTAAACCTAACTCTGGGAAAATCAGCCCAGTTCTCCAAGCCTCAGCTTCCTCATCTGTAAAATGGGGCTAATGTTACCACTCAGTTCATATTCATTATAGGATTCAGAATAGTGGTCCATGCAGTGGTCCTATGTGTAATGATAATGCTTTCCTGTGCCTAGCGAAACAGACTCAGAGAAGGTAACCGCTTTGTTCAGCATCTCACAGGTAGAAAGGGGCAGAGCTAGGAATGGCCTTTAGGCTTGTCTGGCTCCAGGCTCTGAGACATGGATCCTAGTGGAGACCTCCTGTTGATTCACAGTATTTCCTTTCTGCCTATTCTGAGTAATGAAGTCTCCCATCTTCATTTGAGCACACAGCCATCTAAAGACTGTTATTTCCCAGCCTCCCCCACCCCAGCAGCTAGGAGTGGCATCTGGGTTCTGGCCACTTAATTGAACCTATGTGTGCAATTTCTAGGAAGTGTCCTGATCGGTGTGTCTGCTTTCTCCCTGTTGGCTGATGGCCTGGCTTGTGACCTGACAGCGGGGGCACCCACCATCACACGGCTCAGGTCAGGCAGTGGAAGCAGGAATGCACCGCACATAGTGGCATGACCGGCAGAAGAAAGCTAGTCCCTGAGGGTGGAGGCTCCATCACATCTCGTTCTCGAAGTCAGACAGAAACTTTGACCTGTTTGAGCCACTGTTATTCTGGATATGGACATACGTCCTGATTCACAGTGCTCAATGGGAGACTGTCAGTAAGTAGGACTGTAGCTTTTAAAACATGGGCTTTGTCACAACACTAAACCCTGATTTTCCTCTGCTGAGTCTCCGCTGCCTAGTTCCATGCTGGCCGCATAGTAGGTTTAGTGGCATTTTGGGGAGCCACTCAGATGAGCTGGAGCCCCATCCCCAAATTTTCAGCCCTGCGTGGTTCCGGGTCGGCAAGTGCTGTGAGAGTGTTTGCCTTGTGAGCTGGACGGTGAGATGAGGTGGCGCTGGGAAGGATAGTATGCACCATGGTTTCTGCTGGATGGCACAGGGCAGCAGTTCAGGGTCTGAGGTCCCCAGCTCTTTACTATTTCTTTTAGACCCAGGGACCTGGACCTAGGGTGTGTGCAGTTCCGTGACATTGGTTCCAGCCATCTCAGAGGACATCAGCCGTTAATTAGAGGCCTAGAGTGGTTCCCTTGCTTTCCCTGCTTTATGCCATCCTCCTTGCCTGTGGGCCCTGTCCTGAGGCATGCAGAATAGCTGACCAGCTCCCACAGTGCCACAGTGTCACCTCCCATAGTAGATCTCTTATTCTAGGCATCTTCTGGTTGTCCTCTCTCTGGCTGATGCTCAGATATCCAATGCATACTTATTAAATGCATGGAGGGGGGCTGGGGATTTAGCTCAGCGGCATAGAGCCTGCCTGGCAAGCGCAAGGTCGTGAGTTCGATTTCCGGTACCAGAAAAAAAACAAAAAAAACAAAAAATTAAATGCATGGAGGAATTATTTAGACAACTGGCCGTCTGGTATGTGCTACCTACTACTCTCTGCCTCTTGGAGGCTACAGATGTGGGGGAAGGACTTGGGCTCAGCCTCTAAGGCCATATGTCTCTGGCCCTTATGCACAGAATGTTCATCTGTGTCCAGGTAGGGTTAGGAGGGGCCAAAGAGCTAGTGGGTCTGAGAGAGGATATAGGTTAGGGATGGGGGGGGGGTAAAATTTGGGGTGGTCTAGAAGGAGGGATTAATTGCTCTGATAATATTTATATTGGCTCCAGAATGGGACCTTGAGTCTGGAACCTTCTGCTTTTCTAATCAGCCTTTGCAGAATGAGCAGGGAGGACCAGAGGTTAATGCTTCTGGCTCTTGTTCTCATCCTCACTTAAAAGATTCAAGAGATGCTGATAGCTCTTTATTATGCCCACAGAACCTTCTCCATGCATCAGCCTCACGACAAAGGTCAAGCCTCTGCAAGCTGTGCACAAGATTCTCTGAGGCCTTGTCTTTGAATGGTGTCCCACATCACCTGGACTGTCTCTCAGCGCATGAATCAGATGTGCAAGTCTGTGCACCTGGAGGTTGTTATTGTTAGTTATTTTCTGCCCCTGAAAGCCTCAGGTTTTAAGATTGACTTTTTTCTTTTTTTAGGTCAGGAGACTTCTCAGGGGTGAAAGAGTCAAGTCCAAACTTGTTTCCTGTAAGGGAGAGAAGCTGTCCACCCACCCATCTGTCCACCATCCATCCGTCCACCCACTTATCTACTTAACTCCCCACCCATCCATTCACCTCCTTACCTCCCCCGCCCCCACCTATCCAGTATTCTCTGAGTATATTCTGGGCCAGGCTCTGCGCTGAGAGCTGAAGACTGTACAGATCAGTCAAGTACCTCCCCTAGTCTCCAGCACCGCACAGTGGGACGGAGAAAGATGGTGCAAATAGACTATAAAAAATAAATGTAAATGCCACGATGAGGCAAGTCAGGTGCTGTGGACCACAGAGGTCTTCACTCAGTCATGGGGGTCAGAGGGGTCTTGGAGGATGTAGGTGCTCTTGAGTTGATCTGGAAGGACCAGAGGCAGAGAAAGCATGAAAGTTAAGGGCCAGAATGTGCAAAGGCCCAGGGAATGTGTCAAATAGCATGTCACACTCTTTTGCAAACAGTGTATGCTGGAGAAGGCGGTGGTGGTAGAGTGGGGTGGGAGAGAGATCACAGCTAGAGTCCAATGCAGATTTCTTGACCTGTGGACCTGTTCTAGGTTCATCTGGGAGTAGACAGGGAGGGAGCACAGATGGAGGCCTCCCAGAACCAGAGCCGTTGTGGCTTGTGATAGGCAGCTGGCTCTGAGTGAGTGTGTACTAAGCCCAGGGGCAAGGCAGCCTTTCAGGCTAGCTTATTGACCAGGCGAGCATTAGCAGGGTGAGGCCCAAGCTGCAGAGCCTGGCAGATGGGTTCCATTTCTGAGCCTCAGTCTCCCAATGCTAAGCTGAGGAGCTGTTATTCGGCGATTGAGGCTGCTGATGTTCCTTCCCTTTCCCTTACAGGGTAACTCCAAATGGCCACTCTAGCTTCAGGCTGGGGGCTCTCCCACAGTACCTGAACCTACTTTCTCCAGTTCCGTCCAGGCAGGGTGATTGTCCAAAACAGTCCCGAATGTACCACTCACTGCTTGTGGATAAAAGCACAGTTCTTAAAGAGGCATTAAAAAAATTCCACACTTTATAAACATAGTCTCTGCCTCCCTTCCTTCCTATTCTGTCCCTCCCTTCCTTCCTTCCATCCACGTATCCATCCATCCTTCCATCCTTCCATCGTTCCTTCCTTCCTTGCTTCCCACCCTTTATCTAGCCTCTCAGTCGTTCAACAAACAGCTATTTCTTATCTCACTCTCCTTTCTCCTGTTCACTCACTGCGCACTGCCCTCTTGCCTTGTGTCTGAGGGGCAGTCTCCCCCTCTGTTTGGTGAGAGGTAGTGCTGGTGGTGAGGCTGTTGCTCTTCTCCTTTGCCTATCACTCACCTTTTCTTCAAGGTCACTTCCTCTGTGAAGGCTCCTGCCTTACCAGCGATCCTTCCTCTCGGCTTCCACTCTGAGGCGCTTGTCTCTTTATGGGGTGTATAATTCACAGCATTGTTTCTGTGCCTGTCTGTTGCTCACTGTCCTACCCCAGCTCCACCAGGGTGGCTTCACTGTGCATTGTTTAGGTTGTGCACTGCACAAGAATACCGAACTGAAGGAGGTGATGTGGTGGGAGGCTACATCTGCTCAGAAGGAGGAATGCTTTTTTTCTAAATTTTCCAAAGGCACTTGCTCTCCAAGAGATTGGTTCAATTGGCTGAATCTATTTCAAGTGGGCACTTTTGCTCTTTCTCAAACTAAGGTTCTTTGAGCTAGCGTGATGGATTAACTAATGGTCACCTTGTAACACCCAGCTGAACTGAATCATGTGATTCTGGGCATGGAAGGCCCACCTGAGGAGTGCTGCCAATGGCATAAACTGGAGGGAAACATGGTATGCTGTTGATTCTCCTGGAGAAGCTTATCATACTGGCATTCCTGATATGAACTCAGCTGTTCTCATCGTTGGAGGAGCTTGGATCCTCGCTGTCACTGAGATTGGCTGCCAGTCTCTTCTAGTCCTTAGGCTGCCAGGAGCTCTCTGGTCCTTACCTTGAGCATTGCTTCCTGGCTCCAGTACAGACCCCTCAGCCTCCTGGCACAGATCTTTCATCCCACTGGCACAGACTTTCTAGCTTCCACCACTGACCTTTGGGCCTTCCAAGTGCAGATCCTTGATGCAGAGTTGCATGAGACATTGTCATGGGCTCTAGGCCTTCAGTTGAACTCATGCAGGACATTGCCATGGGATCCAGGCCCTCAGCTAAATTCTTGGGGTCTCTAGTATGTGGACAGACCTCCTGCATTCTTTTGCATTTGACTTTTTGGGTGAATATTATGAAATAATCCTATAAATTATGTGTCCTGTATTAAATCTGTTCCCTCACAAACCCTGACCACCACAGCTAGTGATGGCCACATCCTGATTCTAAGTTCCTGAAGATCAGAATGACTTTGGGCTTAACCCTCCAGCTCCTAGCACAACAGTGGCAGGCCCCAGGGACTTCCAGGCATGTTCTGAAAGGAGAAGACTGCGAGTGGTGAGTCTTGGTTCCCTGGGCCTTGGAGGGAATGCTACGACTCATGCCTGCCTTGTAGGGAGACCAGGCTTCTGACAGTGTGGCTGCAGATTTATTTGGAAATTCCCCAGTAAGTGGTGTTTTTTGTCTCCCGGGGACCTCAAGAGCTCACTAGAGGACCCACAGACCAGGGCTCCTCCAAATATTGTTTTAAACTGATGGATGCCATGCCAGGCAGAGAAGGGACAGGCATTTTTCATACATGAAAGACAGTACATTCTGGGGCCAAAACAAAATTATTTCACGTTTGTATGATAACAGGCAGGGAGACAAAGATGATGTTTGAGGACATTTAAACCTCAAAATCATTAGTCACTGTCCCAGCAGGCTACACAAATAAATGATCAATGCACAGAAAAACAAGGCCCTCTGAGGTGTTTGCCCAAGACCACTTATGTGTCAAGCAGACTTATTAGATGTGAAGGGAATGATTATTTGTACAAAGTGAAATGAACATGTGCAATAATATTGTAAAATGTTTATTAGTCTAGAGTGTGCTGAATGTTCCTAAAATATATCAGGTTCTCAGCTTGCATTTAATGTACTGTTATAAATGATATCACATCCTTCCAAGCCGATTTTCCGCTTAACGCTAAGCTGCTTTGCTGGGGGAAAGCGTGTTTTCAGATCCCAAGTATGAAAACACTGTGGGGTTAAACTCTCTTTTCTACTTTCTGCACCCCCCCCCAAAGGGTTACCTCCCTGTAAAACTTGTCCAAGTCTGGCTGGGAGGGAAGGGCAGTTGGTCAGGACAGAGGGTTTAGGAAAGGAGAAGGAGGTGAGCGGGTTATTGCAGTAGAAACATTAGACAGGAAGCTTGGAGAGTATGATTGCAGGATCTGCTCACAGATTCCCTGCTGTGTGGCCTTACACAGTCCTTTCTCCTTTCTGGGCCTTAGTGATTGTAATCAGAAGACGGGAACACGTCTGAAGGGACTACCAGAGCTAAATGTTTGCACATTCTAAGTCCCAGTTTGCTGAGACCTAAGTCTGGGAGATCAGAAAGGATTCTGGAAGTGAATGAATGAAGTGCTATATAAAATTTCTTATTTTTTTCTATGATTTGTTGGCAAAGTCTTCCTTATCTCTAAGACCCTGCCCGATCATTCCCTCCCTTGAGAAGCCCTCTCAGATCCTCTGAGCAGCACCTCCTCCCCATGAAACTTGCTGCACTTCCTGTCACATAAGCCCGTGGTGTCCCCACATCTGTCCCCTGGGCCAGGTGCCTAGTTGGTGCTCAGGGAATGATTAGCGGGTGTGGGCTGAGAGGAGCTGGCATGACTTTGGAGGTGATGCGGCACCTGCCCTACGAGTGAAAGATGGGGAAGGAGGTTGGTCCAGGTTTGCCCTCTGCCTGGGCAGAGCCCTGAGGAGGCCAAGATTGCTCAGGCTTTCTGGAGAGTGTTTCCTACAGTTTAGGGGGAGCAGAAGGCCCCAGCGGAAGCCCACAGCCTCAGCCCTGAATAGGTGGGAGGGAGAGGAGGGGGCCATGCTGGGGATCACCTGAGGCTGGCTTGGGTCTCTGGTGGGGACAGGGTGGTTTCCCTCCCCTAATTCCTCACTCCCAGGGCTTGCCTGAAGCCCCTGATCTTCTCTCAGCCTGTGTTTTTTTTTTTTTTTTTTTGGTTTTTCTCCGGTACCGGTACCGGGAATCCCTCACGACCTTGCGCTTGCCAGGCAGGCACTTTGCCGCTGAGCTAAATCCCCAGCCCCTCAGCCTGTGATGGTCTGGCTTCTTTTGGAGATCTCAGGTCGTAGCATGCTGATAGCTGTACAACACAAGCCAGATGTCCTTGAGGTCCCCGCCCTGGGACAGTCTGCCATTGCCTGACTGAGTCATCCTCTGTGGTGGGCTGGGGCTGTAGGAGAAACCTCTGGTTTTGCTCTAAACCATTCTTCATCCTTGCCCGTGGGCAGAGGATCCTTCTGGCTGGCTGTCCTTGGAACCTGTCCCTAGATAGGGCCCCTTGCTCCTGGCCCTGCGCTGCCCCAGGGAGATCTAGGCTGGTTGGTGCCTACATTCCTCAGCCAGGGGTGGTGCTCCAAGATTTAGCACCTGAATCAACGTCTTGGGTGGCTGTGGGTGGCCTGGCCGGGTGAGGAGGTGGGGTGTGTGGGGGATCGGAGCAGAACGGTCTGGTGCTTTAGGCTCTGACTACACTACAATCCAGATTCCTTGTGCATCCCCTGGGTCCTGCTCACCTCTGACCCTGCTTCATCCTCCTCTTCCTCTCCTGTGCACCCAGCGTCTCTCACTGCAGGACAGCTCTGTCTGCCGCTGCCCTGTTCGTGAAGGACACTAGCCACCTGAGATGGGACACTGGCACCCCGGCCACCTCCACCTTTGGCCCCGTCAGCCGCCCCTTGGAGTTGGGCTGCTTCGAGGCAAACATAGATGACAAGAGAAGAGTGGGGTCAGGGTGTGTATCCCCAGCTCTGTCCCTTCGGTGTCTTGGGCTAGCCTTGTCCCAGCACCAGGTGCCTTCGCGTGTCTCAAGGAAGCAGACTGTAAGTTCCAGCCACAGCTCTCTGCCCTGTTCTTCAGGTGGGAGCTGTTTTGCTGCTGGGGGCGCAAGTCACTGCTCCGTTCCTCCTGTTTTCTGAGCGCTCTCCGCAGTGCACCCTGGAAAGAGTCTCACGGTAGCCTCCTTTTCCAAGTGTGCTGCCTATTTTATTGGGATCTGACTGGCGCTCTGCCTGTCCTGGCACTGGTCGGGATGAGTGAGCAAGACCCTGTGCCCATACTCCAGGACGGGGTTCTGGGGGCTGTGGGTAAGGGGGCAGTGCAACGTAGCAAGAGCTGTGCTGGGTTGCTTGGTGCTTTGTTACTTGGCAGAGGTGCCCATCTTTCCAGGAGGAGCCTTTGAAGAAGCTCTGCAGGGCTTGTGACCTGTCCGCATCCCTGAGGGAACCCCCCTACAGGGCCACCTCGGAGACTTGGGGAGGGAGGATGAGTGTCCCAAGAGGGTTGAGAGGAGCAGGAGGGTCAAAGTTGCCCTCTACCAGATTGGACTTGGCACCCGTGCCTTGTGCTTGGTCCCTTTGCTGCCCTTCTCACCCTGGTGGAGGTCACTCCTTCATCACAGCTGTGACTCCAGGCCAGAAGAGGTGCAGTGACTTGTAGTGGTCACAGAGTCGGTTTCCATGGGGTCAGCAGTAGCCTGTCTTCTCTCCAGAGAGGGTCCAAGTCCAGCCATTGTCCTCCCTAGTGCTTGACATTAGGCCAGGCGCCCAGTGAGAGACAAGGGCACCACGTCACACTGGGCAATGCTTTCTTGCTCGACTACCCTGTGTGTGGGTGTGGGTGTGTACGTGTGCTCACACGCACAGGTAGGGAGCAGTCTGCTTTGTTATGAGTTGAATTGGATCTTCTCAGTATTTGTATGCTGACCCTCTAACCTCCAGTACTTGGGAATGTGACCTCATCTGGAGGTCAGGCCGTTATGGAGGAGATAAAGTGAGGTTAACCTAACCCAGTATGACTGCTGTCCTTATAAAGAGGAAAAATCTGGATACAGACACACACACACACACACACACACACACACACACACACACACACAGGGAGGACACCATGTAAAGATGAAAGCAGAGTTCAGGGGATGACCCTGTAAGCCAAGGAACCCGAAGGTTGCTAGCCAACCCCCAGAAGCTGGGGGAGAGGCATGGAACAGATTCTTCAGTCCTCAGAGGGAATCAACCTGCCGGCACCTTGATCTTGGACTTCCAGCCCCAGAACTGTGAGGCAGTCAGTGTTGGTCCCCATTACCACCACAAACCTCTGCCCTGTTGGTGATACTGTCGTGGCAGCCCAAGCAAGTGAAGGACCTCTCGGTGCTCCAGGCTGTGAGAGCTGCCGAGGTGATGAGTGGATCTGTGCAGGTGATGGTGAGTAGCCCAGCAGCATGGTGGGAAGAGAGTGACTGGGACTAGGGGAACAGGGCTCCAGGCCCAAGTTTGCCTCACTGGGCTCAGGCTTCCTGCCTCAGCACTGGGGGAGTATGCCACGGTTTAACTGGAAGGTGATCCCCCAAAGACTCTTGTATTGGGGACGTGATCCCCAGTACAGCAGTGTGTAGAGGTGGGGCCTGGAGAGGTGATTGGATCCCAAGGATGCTAACTTTATATCAATGGACTTATCACTGACAAGTTCACAGCCCAGTGGGGTATTAGGAGGTGGAGCCCTGTTGGAGGGAGGAGATCACTGAGGGTGTGTCTTTAACGGGTACGCCTTGTCCCCAGCCCATTCCTCTGCCTCTTTCCCTTTTTCTATGCTTCCTGTGCCAAGGAGCGAGCAGCTTTCCTTTCCCAGCCCTTCTGCTATGCTTCTGCCTTGCCACAGGCCTCAAGCAACGGAGCCAGCTGAGCATGGACAAAAATCTCTGAATCGTGGGCCAAAATAAACCGTTCCTCCTCACAAGTTGTTTTTCACAGGTATTTTGTTATAGCAACGGGAAGATGACCAACACAGGGTGGGACTCTAGGAGTTCTGTGACCTTCCCTAGCCCCAACTTTCCCAGCTGGGA